TCCTGCTGCTGCTGCTGCTGCTGCTGCTGCTGCTGCTGCTGCTGCGCTGCTGCAGCAGCTGGAGCCTCCCCCGCCTCGCCTCCCGGCGCAACCAACGCCGCTGCGCGCACCGCACCCGCACCCGCCGCCGCCGCAGCAGCAGCAGCAGCAGCAGCAGCAGCAGCAGCAGCAGCGGGCTGCTGCGGGGTTTGCTGCTGCGCTGCAGGATCTCCGGGAGGCCACCGTTTGCTGCAGCTGCTGCACATCCTGGCCACTGGGGGGGCCCTTTGCTGCATGCTGCTGGTGCTGCTGCTGTCCACTTTGTGCAGCATGTGGGGCCCCGGCCTGGCGCTGCGCGGCAGCGGGCCCCACAGTGTTGCTGCTGCTGTCAAGGCCATGGACCAGGCGCAGCAAACGGCTCTCAGGTTTGCTGCTGCTGCTGCTGCTGCTGCGCTGCTGCTGCTGCTGTGGTGGTGCTGCTGCTGCTGTGGTGGTGGTGGTGCTGCTGCTGTGGTGGTGGTGGTGCTGCTGCTGTGGTCGTGGTGCTGCTGCTGTGGTCGTGGTGCTGCTGCTGTGCTGCTGCTGCTGTGGTGGTGCTGCTGCTGCTGTGGTGGTGGTGCTGCAGCTGTGGTCGTGGTGCTGCTGCTGTGCTGCTGCTGCTGTGGTGGTGCTGCTGCTGCTGCGGTCGTGGTGCTGCTGCTGCTGGTGTGGTTGCGGTGGTGCTGCTGCTCGTATGGTGATGCTGCTGCTGCTGCTGTTGTTCTTGCTGCTGCTGCTGCTGTCGTTGCTGCTGCTGCTGCTGCTGTGAAGATGGTGCTGCTGCTGCACTCGTCGGTGCTACTTGTTAGGCTGCAGCAGCAGCTGCTGCTGCTGCTGCCTGCGCTGTCGTGCTGCTGCCGCTGCTGCTCAGCTGCGACACCTTTTCTTCTACTTCACTTGCTGCTGCTGCTGCTGCCGCTGGACTGACACCGCGTGTGTGCTGCTGCTGCTGCTGCTGCTGCCGCTGGACTGATACCGCGTGTGTGCTGCTGCTGCTGCTGCTGCTGCTGCTGCTGCTGCTGCTGCTGCTGCTGCTGCAGGGTGTTTAACCTGGGTTTGTTTTGCTTCGTGGTATCTTCTTCCGTGTCTGCGCTGCTGTTTCAAAGTGCAGTTTGCTGCTGCCTTTTGGTACTTCTTTATGGCTTTATTGGCTTCGAAATCAGCAGCAGCAGCAAAGACATAAAGCAGCAGCTGCTGCCGCGGGCCCTGGCTTCTGGGGAGATCAGGGGCAACCCGCTGGCCCAGTCTGCTGCTGCTGCTGCTGCTGCTGAGGAAGCAGCAGCAGCAGCAGCGGCGGACTCCTGCTGCGCCTCCAGCACCTTCCAGTGCCTAGGCAGCAGCAGCAGCAGCAGCAGCAGCAGCAGCAGCTATTTCCAGTCAAGGTCCTCCACTGTAGAGACAATTAAGTTTGTCAAGTGCCCAGCTGTACAGACACCGCAGCAGCAGCAGACCTACGCAGCAGCAGCCACGCAGCAGAACCAGCGGCTGCAGCAGCAGCAGCAGCAGCAGCTCTACCTGCAGCAGCAGCAGCAGCAGCAGCAGCTCTACCTGCAGCAGCAGCAGCAGCAGCTGTCGTTCTCGCCGCACGAGCCCGACTACCAGCATCAGCAGCTGCACCAGCAGCAGCAGCAGCAGCAACAGCAGCAGCAGCAGCAGCAGCAGCAGCAGCAGCAGCAGCAAGAAGAAGAAGAAGAAATCTTGGGGGCCTTTGCAAGCTCAGCATACACCTCAATCGCAAGAGGCCTCAGCCTCTTTTTGGGCCTCGAGGGAGAAGAGACAGGAGACACTTGAAGCACTTTATTATTTATTTATTTATTTATTTATTTATTTATTTATTTATTTATTCATTTATTTATTTATTATTTATTTATTTATTTATTTATTTATTTATTTATTTATTTGGTTAACTTGTTTGGCTGGCTCGGCTTGAGCAAATCAAATCCAAAAAGGTATAAAGACAAAACAAAAAGGAAATTAAAAAAAGCCAAAAAAACAATTCAAACCCAAAGGGGCCTTGGGGGGCCCCCAAGTCCTCTTGGGGGCCCCCAGGGGGCCCCCAGGGGCCCTCCAGAGGGCCCCGGGGGGCCCCAGGGGGCCCGCAGGGGGCCCCTGGGGGGCCCCAGGGGGCCCCCGGGGGTGCCCCAGGGGGCCCCTGGGGGGCCCCAGGGGGCCCCCATGGGGCCCCTGAGGGGCCGCGGAAACTCCTAGGGGGCCCCTGAGGGGCCCCAGGGGATTCTAGGGATGTAGAGGGGGCCCCCTGAGTGGGTCCTATGGGGTCCCGGGGGGCCCCCTAGGGGGCCCCCACAAGCAGCTCTCAGTAGGTCTTGGGGGGCCCCCCAATAGGTCTTAGGGGCCCCCAATAGGCCCCAAGGGGCCCATCCAAGCCTTGTGGGGCCCCTCTGGGGGCCCCCTACGGGGGCCCCCAGCAGCAGATCCTGGGGGCCCCAGGAGGTCTTAGGGGGCCCCCTAGGAGTTCTTGGGGGGCCCCCAAAGAGGTCATGAGGGGCCCCCAAGGAGGTCTTGGGGGGCCCCCAATAGCTATTAATAGGGGCTTTCCAAAAGGCCCTAAGGGGCCTAAGAATATGTCTCAGGGGGCCCCCAGTGGGTACTGGGGGCCCCCCTATTTCATCCTTGGGGGGCCCCCTGTGGGGCCCCCACAAGAGTCACTAAGGACCCTTCAGGGGCCCCCTGGGGGCCCCTGAGAACTCATTGAAGGGGCCCCTGAGGACTACTTGAGGGGCTTTTAATTTGTCTTCTTCTATTGAAATTAAAAGAATCAGAAAAGGCAAAAAGAGAACTTTTAATTTGTCTTCTTTTATTTGAATTAAAAGAATCAGAAAAGGCAAAAAGAGATAAAAGAGCAGCAGCAGCTTTAAATGGAATTTATTTTTTGCCCATTGCGCAGCAAATGCGCGAAGCATTGATCTATTTATTTATCTTTATTTGTTCCAATATTATAATTAATTAATTAATTAATTAATTAAATTAATTAATTAATTAATTAATTAATTAATTAATTTAATTAATCAAGTGGTTTGTTTATACATGTTGAGAAGGAGTGGCCCTTCGCATTTCCTCGGCCGCCCTGTGGAGCCGCAGACGTCTGCAGCGAAAAAAAGGGAAAAAAGAGCATAAAAGGAATAAAAATGGAATTAAAAAAGATAAAATGTGAAATAAATTGAAATAGAATTAATTAAATGAAAAAAAGAATTCAAAAAACGGCGAAAAACCGACCAAATGGAGCAGCAGAGGTGCACGTACACCCGAAGCCTCGAGGTGTACGTACACCCCAACAACGC